AGATCCTGTATGTGAGAATGCAACAGAAATGCACCTGAACTTTGAAACAAAACTGAAGATGGTTGTGAGAACACATCAGAAAGGAAATTGTGAGGTGTGGAAAAGAGATGTGCTGAGTGAGCAGTTATTTAATAAAAAACATAAGTTTCCTATTGAATTGAGAGTTAGGTCTCAGTTGTGTTTTTGTGCTAATCAATGAAGTGCCCAACACTGAGCATATGGACTTACATGCTATATTCGAAGTCAGATGAGGTAGACAGATGAGTTGCTTGGCTTTAGCAGCCAAATACTGCAACTTTACCATCTTAGATTCAGTCAAACCAGTCTGGTAAGGAGTGACACCGTTGTGGGATGCTCTTTGGAGGGTCAGTGCAGACTCAATGGGTCGAATGTCCTGCTTCCACACTGTATGATCTCTATGGTGTTTTGCCATTATGGGAATTCTGCAAATCAGGCACACAAGTCATTTGTCATTCGGCCCTGGTTTCAATTCCAGTTTAAGTGCAGCTTTTGAGAATATCTGTTCTAGGCACCCATCTCATCCTGCCACCTGATGCCAGAGATTGCTGTGGACAGGGTAAATGGAAATGCTGAAGTGGGGAGTGGAGTAGGACAAGGTGAGTTTTATCCTGTGAAGAGGGCACAACCTGACATTGATGTTGTCAGAACTGGATTTTGGTAACTGGTTTTGAGTTCACTGGAAATGTTTAGAAACTGTGCATTATGGAGGCTTTGTACAGCACAACACCAGCACAGGTTTAAGCAGTTGGCAGCTGGTGTTGTCAGTCCCTCAAATGAAATTGCAGCTGGTGTTGTCACAATAAACATTTAGGTTATCCATTACACAACATGCTGTAAGGTTAATCACAACATGACCATCCTTGAATCTACCTACCTCACCCAGTAGTTAGGAAATTGCCCAATTTTGTTACTTGCCCTTCATCAGACAAGGCTAACTAGGCCTGAGCAAAGTCTTGGGTATTTGGTCTGATGAATAGATAATAATCTAAAAATATTGGTGTCCAATGGAAATGAGATGGTCAAAAGATCAAGTGATACAGCATTTCCTTCAGTTAGAAAGGTCATACTCCTGAAAGCCAGTTGATGAAGGAAGAAACCAGAACTAGTCTTTACTGGGAATAGATATATTCACAGACTGAAATGTAACAGGAATATATATCCTGACTCCACTCCACCCCTGTATCAGCATGTGTCTCTTTACATATGCTGAAGTGACTGTCAATACCCTCCACTTGAATATACTTAACCTCAACTGATAAGAGGCACTGCAATGTGTTAAATAGTGTCCAATGGAATGAAATGTAACAACAAGAGAATGACAGTTGTTTCTAGCCATCCTTGTGTGTGTCAGTTTTTTCATGTTAGCATGCCTTTTAATCAGGACTGACTTTTTGACTATGCAGGTGGGGTCAGACTCTGTGCTTAATCTGTCTCATGAAAAATCAGGCGCTTGCTATCAGGGTGATTGAGGCTAGATATTGGGTTATTGTGTGGAAAACCCTGCAGCCTCATTCACGCCAAAGCCCTTTTCCCCCTCAATAAAGAAACCGAACAGAGCAGAAAGAAAATACAATATAGAACATAGAACAGTACAGCACAGGAATGGACTCTTTGGCCCATGATGTTGTGCCAGACATGACACTAAATTAAACTAATTCCTTCTGCCTGCCCTTGGTCCATATCCCTCCATTCCTTGCATATTCATGTGAATGGTGTGAATTCACGTGATGTGAATTCTCAAGCATTTGTTCACCTGCTGAAAGTGTTGGACCAAATGTTATCAAGTCCATTTTATTTTATTGAAACTTGTGTACATTGTGGTTCCATTCTACCATGTTTTTGGTGAATCTTGTATTTTTTCTTTTTAATTGGCGTTCAAAAATGAAAGATTTCGCACCCCTTCTGTTATTTCCTCTGTTCTGACAAACTTTTGCGTTTCAAGTCAGAATGGCAGTCAGCTGGGACTCTGCAGTGTGTGATTTATAGAGTCATAGAGTCCTACAGTATGGAGACAGGCCTTTTGGCCAAACTGGTCCTTGCCGACCAAAATGTGCATCCACACTAACCCTATTTCCCTGCACTCGGCCCATATCCTTCTAAACCTTTCCTGTCCATGTTTTTGTCCAAATGCCTTTTAAATGTTGTTAATGTACCTGCCTCAACCACTTCCACTGGCAGCTCATTCCATATGTGTACCACCCTCTATGTAAAAAAGTTGCCCCTCAGATTCCCATTTATTCTTTCCCCTCTTACCTTAAACTAATGCCTTCTAGTCCTTGATTCCCCAACCCTGGGAAAAAGGCTGAGTGCATTCACGCTATCCATGCTTCTCATGATCTTATACACTTCTATAAGATCCTTCCTCAGTCTCCTATGCTCTAAAGAAAAAAGTTCTAGCTTGTCTGACCTCTTCCTATAACTCAGTCCCTTGAGTCCTGGCAACATCCTTGTAAATTTCTTCTGCACTCTTTCCAGTTTAAAAACATCCTTCCTATAGCAAGGTGACCAAAACTGAACACCATACTCTAAGTGCGGCCTTGCCAACATCATGTACAACTGCAACATAACTTCCCAACTTCTATACTCAATGCCCTAACTGATGAAGGCCAGTGTGTCAAAAGCCTTCTTCACTGCCATGTTTACCTGTGACTCCACTTTAAGAGAACCATGCACCTGAACTCCAATGTCCCTCTATTCCACTACACTCCTTAGGACCCGACCATTCACCATGAAACTCCTACCTTGATTTGACTTTCCAAAATCCAACACCTTACACTTATCTATATTAAATTCCATTTGCCATTTCTTGGCCCACTTCCCCAGCTGATCAAGATCCTGCTGCAATTTCCGATAACCTTCCTCACAGTCCGCAATACCTATTTTAGTGTCATCGGCAAACTTACTAATCATACCTTGTACATTCTCATCCAAATCATTGATATAGATGACAAACAGCATTGGGCCCAGGACCGATTCCTGAGGCATACCACTAGTCACAGGCTTCCAGTCCAACAAGCATCCTTCCATTATTACCGTCTGCTTCCTACCATCAAGCCAATTATGTATCCAATTTGCCATCTCTCCTTGGATTCCATGTGATCCCAATCCCAAAGGCCTCCAAACAAACTACTCCAATTAATCCCTGCAAGCTCCTGTCTAATTCCATCAAATTTAGAACTTGAACCTGTGGGCCAGTTTTGCTCTTCTCCATAACTATTTTAAAATTAATAGAACTATGGTCACTGGTCCCAAAGTGCTCCCCCACTGTCACCTCAGTCACCTGTCCTGCCCTATTTCCCAAGAGTAGGTAGAGTTTTGCCCCTTCCCAAGTAGGACCCTGTATATACTGCTTGAGGAAACTTTCCTGAACACATTTAACAAATTCCACCCTATCTAAGCCCTTAACCCTATGGCAGTCCCAGTCTATGTTAGGAAAATTAAAATCCCCCACTAGGACAACCCTATTGCTTCTGCAAGTCTCCCCAGCCTCCCTGCATATTTGTTCCTCTAATTCTCGTTGATTGTTTGGAGGCCTATGGTACAACCACAATAATGTCACAATCCCTTCATATTTCTTAGTTCCACCCAGAAAACCTCATTGGATGATCCCACAGTTATTTAATCTCTGACTGCTGCTGTGATATTCCCCTGAATCAAAAATGCAACCCTCCCCTCCCCTCTCTCCTCCACCTCTGTCCCACCTAAAACACCTGTACCCTGGCACATTAAACTCCCAGTCCTGCCTCTCCCTTAGCCATGATTCTGTAACAGCTATAATATCCCAGCCCCATGTACCTATCCACGCCCTGAGTTCATCGGCCATACCTGTCAGCCGTCTTGCATTGAAATAGATGTAATTTCATCCAACGGGCATTCCTTGCACCCTGACATGTTCTAGCCTGACCTGTCTCTTCAACTTACTATTTCTGATTTCTGTATCTCCTTCAGCCTCGCACTTGCCTTCCTGCTGTTGAGGATCCCAACCCCTTGCCAATTTAGTTTAAACCCTTGTAGCGCTAGCAAATCTGCCCACCAGGATATTGGTCGCGCTCCAGTTCAGGTGCAACACTTCTCTTTCGAATAGGTCACCCCTGCCCCAGAAAAGATCCCAATGATCTAAGAATCTCAATCCCTGCTCCCTGCACAATTCGTTAGCCATGCATTCATCTGCCACATCCTCCTGTTCTTACCCTCAATAGCACATGGCACTTGAAGTAATCCAGGGATTGCCGTCGTCGAAGTCCTGGTTTTTAATTTTTTTTCCTAACTCCCTATAATCAGTCCCCAGGACCTCATCCCTATTTGTACCATGTCATTTGTGCCAATGTGCACAATGACTTCAGGCTGCTCACCTTTCCCCTTGAGAACGTTCTGCAGGTGCTCTGAGACATCTCGGACCCTGGCACCCGGGAAACAACACACCATCCTGGATTCCCATTGGCAGCCACGGAATCTCCTGTCTGTCCCCCTAAGTATCAAGTTTCCTATCACTAAGGTCCTGTTTACCTTTACCCTTTCCCACTGTACCCCAGAGCCAGTTGTAGTGCCACTGACCTGGCTACTGCTGCTTTCCCCTGATTGGTCATTCTCCCAACAGTATCCAAAACGGTATACCTGTTTCCGAGGGGAACAGCCAACAGGGGATTCCTGCAATCTCTGCCTACTCCCTTTGTATTTCCTGGTGGTCACCCAGCTACTCTCTGCCTGCACCTTAGGTGCGGCCACCTCACTAAAACTCTAATCTACGATGTGCTTAGCATCTCAGATGATCCTGAGTGCATCCAGCTCCAGCTCCAGTTCCCTAACACGGTCTCCCAGGAGCTGCAGCTGGGTGCACTTCCCATGGGTGTGGTCATCAGGGATGATGGAAGTCTCCCTGATCTCCTACATCCTGCAGAAGGATCATGCTACTCCCCTAACTACTTTCTCAACTGCTCTAAGGTTAAGAGGAAAGTTAAAAGGACTTTACCTGAGCTTACCTGCGCTTTTTGCTGAGTCTCTACTTACCACAGCTTCTGGATCCAAAGCTGGAATGGAGCACAACAAGGACAGTTCTCTCTTTCCTTCATATGTTTTTGCAGACTTAGTAGTATCAGTTAGCCCAAAATAATTCTTGTGCAGTTATTTTTAGGAAATGTATGTTACAGTTTGATAAAGGTACCACGCTATTTTTTCACTCTACCCTTTCAGGATTCCTCTTTTTTTAACTCACTAGTGGGGCATAGGCATTGCTGGCTGGGCCAGCTTTTATTGCCCATCCCTAGTTGCCCTTGAGAAAATGGTGGCAGTGAGCTGCCTTTTTAAACTGCTGCAGTCCAAGACAATGAAGGAACAGCGATATATTTCCATGTCAGGAAGTTGAGTGGCTTGGAGGGGAGCTTGCAGGGGGTGGCATTCCCATATATCTGCTGCCCTTATCCTTCTAGATGGAGACGTTTACAGGTTTGGAAGGTGCTGTCTAAGGATTTCTAGTGAATTTCTGCAGTGCATCTTGTAAATGGTACACACTGCTTCTACTGAGTGTCAGTGGTGGACGGAGTGAATATTTTACACAATACCAAAACCTTGAGGGGGGCAGAGGAAACTGCTGATCTCAGATTTCACAGTTGTCTGTGATTCTCAAGTGCAGTGCACAGCATAAGCACTGATCTTAGTACACTGATGACACTGGGCATTTTAACTTACTTCCACTTTGTGGAATCCTGAATAACCATCTTAACTGGGAGAGAAAATGAAATAAAATTACACAAATAAGGTAGTCTTGATGGACAATGAGACTTCTTTTATTTATTCATGGGGTGCAGAGTGTGGTATCAGGTGGTGAGTTACAGGCTGCAGCATTCCTCGCCTCTGACCTGCTCTTGTAGATAATATGTCTTGTCCAGTTCAGTTCCTGGTCAGTAGTAATCCCTAGGATGTTGATAATGGCGAATGTTTCAACAATGGTAATGCCATTGAATATTAAGGGCTGATGATTAAAGCCTCTCGTTCAGAGATGGTCATTGACCAGCACTTGTGTGGCATGAATGCTACTTGCCACTTTTCAGCCCAAGCCTGGCTATTGCCCAGATTTTATTGCATTTGGACATGGACTGCTTCAGTATCTGAGGAATTGTGAATGGTACTGAACATTGTGCAATCATCAGTGAATGAGCCCACGCCTGACCTTATGATAGAAAGGAAGGTGAAACAGCTGAATATGGTTGGGCCCAGGACACTATCCTAAGGAACCCTTGAAGAATGTCCTGAGGCTGAGATGACTAACCCTGAATGATCACAACCAGCTTCTTTGTTTTAGGTATGATTCCAGTCTTTGGAGAATTTGCCCCCTGCTCCCCCCATCCCAATTTCCACTGACTCTAGGTTTGCTAGAAATCCTTGATCCTGCACCTGGTCAAATGCTGCCTTAATGTCAAGGGCAGACACTCTCATCTCTGTCGTTCAACTCTTTTGTCCATGTTTGAACTGAGGCTGTAATGAGGTCAGAAGTTGAGTGGCCCAGACAGAATCAAAAGGTGAGTGTTGAACCAAACAGTGATTTTTGGCATCACTTTCAGGAAACCATCCAGAAAATGGGCAAGTGCATGCTGGGACAGGAAGGGAGCGGAGATCTGGCTTGACAGAACTTTTCCTATTTTTGTTTGGCTGAGTTGACCAGGGTTCTGCCTATTAATTAGGCAATCGAATCAGAAAATCCCCGCAGTCCAGTCTAAACTGCCATAAATGTAAAAGTATACAAGTAGGAAAAGGCCATTGAGCTCTGCCATTCAAAGACCGTGGCTGGTTTAATTGTGGCCTCAAACCAATTTCCAGACTACCCATGATACACTTTGACTCTCTTGTTTGTCAAGAATTTATCTATCTGTACTTTATATTCATTGACCCTGCCTTCACTGTTCACCGGGAAGAGAATTTCAGTCATGATCCTCTGAGAGCAAAAACATTTCCTCTGATCTACCTCTTACCTTTTTACTTTTAAACTGTGTCCCCTCATTCTAGTCTCAAAAAGGGAAATATCCTTTCAGCATCCACCTCATCAAGGCCTCTCAGGATCTTAAACGGTTCCACAAGTTCACCCCTCATTCCTATAAACACCAATGGATACAGGTCTGACCTGTCCAACCTTTCCTCATGAGAAAACCCCAAGAATCAGGAATCAAACAAGTGAACTTCTTCAACAGTCTTCAGTTCTGTCCAAGTTCAACCATTTTTATGTTTCTCTGCTTAATCATGCAGATACATTAATTACTGAGGATTTCTACTAGCTAAGGAAAAGCCACAATCCCACCATCCAAATAATTTCCTTCTCTATTCAGTGCAGGATTGGATCCCTAACCTTGTTAATAGATTGCAATGACTCAGTTTCGACTTGTATTCCCTTGAATTCAGAGGTTGAGGTATGACATAGTCATGGTTTTTAAAATGATTGAGGGATTCAGTAGAGGAGCATTGCTCAGGTATAATTCGTTCAGGGAGACCAGGTTGCCATGGCAACATGCGCTTTTTACATGCATGTTGTAGACTGGTGCCAGAGATAGTGATAGTGTTGGCTCTAATATTCTTTACTTCATCTGGCTGACTAGGAATCTTTTCCGCTCTTACTATTTGCCATTGTTGTGTGTTGGGAAGATCTACAATCCAACTCAGCGACAGGGACAGAGTCATACTGCATGGAGACAGATCCTTCAGCCCAACTTGTCCATGCCAACCAAGTTTCCCAAACTAATTTAGTCCCACTTGCCTGCATTTGGCCCATATCCCTCTAAACCCTTCCTATTCATGTACCTGTCCAAATGTCTTTTAACTGTACCTGCATCTACCACTTTCACTGGCAGTTCATTCCACACACAAATCACCCTCTGTGTAAGAAAAAGTTGCCCTTCAGTTCCCTTTTAAATCTTTCTCCTCTCACCTTAAAATTATTTCACATAGTTTTGAACTTCCCCAAATGAGGGAAAAGACCTTTGCTTTCACCTTATCTATGCCCATCATGATTTTATAAATCTCTATAATGCCACAAATTAACCTCCTATACTCTAGTGAAAAAAGTGCCAATCTATCCAGCCTCTCCTTATAACTCAAACCCTCCAGACCCAGCAACATCCTGGAATATCTTTTCTGCATCCTCTCCAATTTAATGATTTTCTTCCTATAGCAGGGCAACCAAAGCTGCACACAGTACTCCAAAAGTGGCCTCACGAACATCCTGTACAACCTCAACATAACGTCCAAACTCCTATACTCAATGGTGTGTGTAATGAAAGCAAACGTGCTAAACACCTTCTTAACCACCCTGTTTACCTGTGATGCAACTTCCAAAGAACCGTGTACCTGAACCCCTAGATCTCTCTGTTCAACAATACTACCCAGGGCCCCACCATTAGTTGTATAAGTCCTGCCCTTGTTTGTTTTACCAAAATGCAATACCTTGCATTTATCCAAATTAAACTCCATCTGCCACTCCTCAGCTCATTGGCCCAATTAATCAAGATCCCTTTGTAATCTTAGATAACTTTTGTCATTGTCGACAATCCCACCAATTTTGGTGACATCCACAACTTACTAGCCATGCCTCATAAATTCTCATCCAAATTATTTATATAAATGATAAACAACAGTGAACCCAGCACCAATCCCTGTGGAATCAACCACTGGTCACAGGCCTCCAGTCTGAAAGAACAGCCCTCGACTACCACCCTCTGTCTCCTACTGTCAAGCCAAATTTGTATCTAATTGACAAGTTGTCCCTGAATCCCATTTGATCTAACTTTACTAATTAGTCTACCATGTGGATCCTTGTCAAAGGCTTTACTAAAGTCCATGTAGGCAATGTCTACTGCTCTGCCATCATCAGTCTTTTTGGTTGTGTCCTCAAAAAACTCAATTAAGTTTGTAAAACACAATTTCCCATGCACAAAGCTATGCTGACTGTCCCTAATTGGTCCTTGCCTCTCTAAATGTATGTAAATCCTATGTCTCAGAATCCCCTCCAAGAACCTATCCACCATTGATGTTGCACACATGGGTCTATAGTTCTCAGGCTTCTCCTTACAGCCTTTCTTAAGTAATGGCGCAACATTATCTACCCTCCAATCCTCCAATACCTCACCCATGGCTGTAGGTGATACGCATATCTCTGCTAGGAGCGCTGCAATTTCTTCCCTAACTTTCCACAACGTCCTTGGATACACTTGATAATGACCAGGAGATTTATCCACCTTTATGTTATTTTAAGACTCCCGGCACCTCCTCTTCTGTAACGTGAACCATTTTTAAGATATCAATATTTATTTCCCAGAGTTGCCTAGTCTCCACTTCTTTCTTCACCGTAAAAACTGACGTGAAATATTCGTTTAGTATCTCTTCCTTCTCCTGTGGCTCCACACATGGACGACCTCATTGATCTTTAAGGGGTCTTATTGTCTCCCTAATTGCTGTTTTGTTTTTCATGTACTTGTGGAATCTCTTTAGATTATCCTTAATCTCATATTATGCCGTCTAGCTGCAGTGGTGACAACAGCAGCAATGTCAGGACAAACTGGATACACCCAGGGTCTCCCGTCGAGTGAGGAGCAGGTCCTGGCCTGAATTCCTCAGCCCGGACCCGCAGGCTGGGCTGATGCTCCAGGTCCACAGCTAGGCCGTGGTGCCTGAAGGAGCGGAAGCATCGGTGAAAGGGACAGATGGTGGACCAGCAGCAGCGGGGTCTGGAGGAACATTGGATGGCGAGCAGGAGGCTCCTCCTGGCCCAGCGTGGCGTTCTCGTCTTGGCTGCATCTTCAGGGTATTCCACCATTCCTTAATCTGCTGTTCCTGAACCCAGGAGCTGTTAACTGGATGTGATGAACTTTGTCTTAATTTTACTTTTTTATTATTGTTATGTATGACTTCTGTCATTAACATTGATGACTTATAAAACTTTACATTGTATTTTTTGTGTAAAAATTCACGTGACAATAAATTTCTCTTCTATTCTATCCCCTTTATGCCCTCCTGATTTGCCTCTTAAAAATGCCCCTACACCCCTTATACTCTTCAAGAGTTTCACTTGATTCCAGTTGTCTATACCTAATATATGACTCCTTCTTATTCTTGACCAGGGCCTCAATATCTTTATTTATCCATTGTTCCCTACTTTTGCCGGCCTTACCCTTCACCCTAAAGGTTGTGAGAGGGATAGCCAGAGGAGACCCCTGAATTACCTTCCTACCCGTCCTGACAGTCACTGAACTGAAGTGTAACCACCTCTCTAAAGCTACTAACCATCACACTCTGTGTCTCCTGAATGCTCCTCAGTGACTCTAGCTGCCTCTCCAGCCGATCCAAATGGTCTGATATGAGATGGACCCAAACATACCTCCTGCAGACTTAGTCTTCAGAGACGACCAACAGTTGACATGATTTATTGCAGGACAGGACCTCCTCATTAAGTGGAGTATATATAGAGAGATACTATCTCCTATTTTGGGGAATCCAGAAGATGCAGGTCATCACACATTATCACCTTCTTGTGATCGGGTGCAGCTTCCCTCATGGCTGATGTCATCTTTACATTTTCATTTAATCCCCATTGATATGATAGCTAATTTTACGTGTCAAGTTAAGTGTACTGGTACAGCACATTCTTAAAATTAGAGCCTTGTAATTCAGGAGCTAAAGTAGGAATCACTCCAACACACAAATGGTAGTAAAACTTTCAAACGTGCTCTCCCAGGATCGATGGAAATTTTGAAAACTGAGATCAGTAATTATTGTTAGGTCAGTGCATCAAGGGACATGGCCCAAAAGGCAGTTAGATGGAGTCAAGACATAGACCTGTCATGATCTCATTGAACAGCAGAACAGGCTCGAAGGGCTGAATGGCTTCATTGCGTTCCTTCTAATGTTTCAGAAAGAAATACAACATAGCACACAGGAAAAAACAAACATTTCATCAATAGTTCCTAAATAGTGAAAAAGGGGCAGAAGTTAAGATTTAATAAATGACAACATTGTAGGGGTAAAAGGAACACGTCCTCAGTGGTAAGGGAAGATGGCATTGTTCGGGTGGTGGGTTCCAAATACCTCCTTTTGCTCGAGTCCTTCTGTAAAAGCTATTGATTCTCACAAAGAGATTTCCAAGGGCAGGCAGGTTGTGACTGTAAATGTTATGCATGTTAAGTGTATGTGTGTGTGTGTGTGTGAGTGTGTCTGTGCTGTGGGGGCTGGGGGGGAAGTGCTTTGATCCTGTTTAGACTAGGTTTGCAGCAAACTGCTGGTTTAGGTACACCTGGCGGCTGGGGACACTTAGCAAGGGGCAGTGAGAGTGCGTGGTGAATGGCACAGATTTCTGGTGGTGCCTTATGTCTGCAATGAGTGAAGTATGGAAACAAGAGAATGCTCCCACTCTGGGAACAGAAGAAAGGATCCTTCTACGGCCAAAGCCGCAGAGACCTTGGCCCAAAACCAGGAAGAACGTGACAGGTTAGTAAGACTAGCCTTCAGAATAACTTTCTAGCTTTAGAGTTATGTTTGGCTTTGTCACCAGGTATTATAACTGACAAATGTGGCATAATAGAATTTTAAATATTTACAGAACAAATAAACCTTCCTTATTCAGTGGATTTATGGTAATTTGTTACATGTGGCGTGTATTTAAACTTGAGGAATAAGCTCAGTTAGCAAGCACAGAGCATCACTGGTTCTCATTGCCAGCAAACTGGTCTGGTCTATGCAAGGAAGCAACATTTGCAATTCCCAACTCCATAACAGTATCTCATTAATTCCTAAACTAGTTCTAAGTTTACGTTCTCTTGTCATCCTGATATACGCTGTGACATTAATGTCATGAATATTATTGCGTGACTGCTGGAACAGTGATTGTTTCAATTCCTTTGATTATTTTTACTGGCCAGCAAGCTTAAAAATGCTGACTGACTATCAGAATTAGATATGTTGTTGGGCTTCCTTAGTCAGTGATCACTGGGAGAACCTGGTGTAGTAACACAGCCAAAGGATACTTAAATTCATTGCATCAACATTGCAGAAAGAGAAATAATCTTTCTTGTTCTGGATATGAAGGGAGTGCAAGCAAGCTTTATCAGGCCAATTGCTGGGATGGCAGAACTGATTGATGAAGAGAAAATGGATTGGTTTGTACTATATTCACTGGAGATTAGAAGAATGAAGGGGAATCTCATAGGAACCTGTAAAATTCTAATAGGACTAGACAGAGACGAAGGATATTGCCAATGACCAGGGAGTCCAGAACCAAGGGTTACAGTCTAAAGATATGGGGTAGGCCGTTTAGGACTGAGGTGAGGAGAGATTTTTTCACCCAGAGAGTGGTGAGCCTGTGGAATTCTCTGCCATAGAAAGTAGTTGAGGGCAAAACATTGAATGTTTTCAAGAAGGAAATAGTCATAATTATTAGGACTAAAGGAAGTCAAAGTGTATGGAGTGAAAGTGGGAACAGGATACTGAGTTGGATGATCAGCGATAATCATAATGAATGGCGGAGCAGGCTCGAAGGATTTACTCCTGCTCCTGTTTCTATGTTTCACAAAGTCTTTTCTTCACTTCATGATATTATGGGAAGTGTACCTAGGGTTATTTAAATTGAGTGAGTATTGCATTAGCACTTTAATTTTCCCCAAAGGAACAGGAAATCTTATTGCAATACCTTTAATTGTTAAAAGATACTAATTCCCTTTGGGTCATTATACTACAATAAGCACACTATATTAATGCATGAGATAGCAAGAACTGCAGATGCTGGAGTTAGAGATAACACAGTGTGGAGCTGAAGGAACGCAGCAGGCCAGGCAGCATCAGAGGAACAAGTAATTTTGATGTTTTGGGTCGGGACCCTTCTTCAGAAAATTGTTCTGAGGACGGGTCCAGATCCAAAATGTCAACGTTCTTGTTCCTCTGATGCTGCCTGGCCTGCTGTGTTCCTCCAGCTCCACACCGTGTTATCACTATATTAATCATAGAATAGATTCCCTACAGTGTGGAAACAGGCTCTTTGGCCCAACAAATCCACACTGACCCTTGGAGCATCCCACCCAGACCCATCCCCCTATAACCCACACACCCCTAAACACTACAGGCAATTTAGCATGGCCAATCCACCTAGCCTGCACATCTTTGGACTGTGGGAGGAAACCAGAGCACCTGGAGGAAACCCACGCAGAGATGGGGAGAACGTGCAAACTCTGCACAGACAGTCACCTGAGGCTGGAATTGAACCTGGGTCCCATGGCACTGTGAGGCTGCAGTGCTAACCACTGAGCCACCGTGCCACCCAAATGCTGCCTTTGTTAAACATGGAATGAACAGTGTGTTGATTGGACCGTTTAATGTTCAGAAGTTTTATTTTTGCATTGATGGATTATTACATCTCAATATATCTTACATGTTGCGAATTACTCACGATGCTGTGACTGCAATTGTTTAACTTCGGCCTCACAGTCCATCTGCGTTTAGGGTGATGGCCTTTTGTGTGTAAAAGTGTGTCAGTTATTACAAAAGTTTTGCTGCTAACTTATGCTTGTTGTCTTTTTCCAATTTAAATATTGTGTGATCTCAGAAATGAATGGTTTCTTTGTGTGTGTTGTGGCTTGGAGTTTAATGGAATGGTGAGAATTATTGAGGATATTGGTGAACTCTTCTAATTCTGCTTCTGTGGTGAGTCCGACTATGTCAGACATCAATATTGATACAGAAGGTAATATATCAATGTGATACCATCATCTAATAAAGTCGTGAATAAGGATGAAAAAGAGGCACCTAAAAACCAAAAATTAAACCCCCAAAAAATCAAAAATTAGCTTTGAGAGCATCTTAAGAGGAACTCTCAAAAAAAAAAGAAATTATTTTGACCTTGATGTAACTCTAGGGAATTGAAGCATGAACTAACCTGACTTGAGTATAATTAGGAAAAAATGTGAAGAAATGTTCTGCAAAACAACTTGCTCCAGGGATTTTTTTGCATTTTTAAGGTATCTAACATATTAACAAAGGAAACAAGGTGTTAAATGCGCAGATACTACCATTGCCATAGTCAGAATATTCAAACAGTAATTTGATGAGAAGGTCATTCCTTCTAACAGGCTCTGTGCATTTTGCATGAAAGTGTATTCTGTCCAAAGTACATAACTTCCCTGGGGAGGTGAATGACCAGATTGAAATTTCTAAACAAATAAAGTGAAACTCCCCTGAGCTCAAACATAATTGACCCAGCTCTCCAGAATATAGATCTAATATTAGAACCTACATTACTGAGCCATGACCAGTTACATTCTTCAGATAACATTTCCATGATTGCAATACCATGAGATACACTCATGTGTGCCACAGAACAATGTGCAATATTGCCAATGCCTACAGCTATTAAGGAGCAGTAGATACAATGCTTATTGTCCTGCTGTATTACTTGTCAGTTCTTTAGTTTGATGTAATATTTACAAATCTTGTATTCATGTACTTTGTACATGAACTTCACATGATGGAAAAGTACAAAATTACTTTGCCTCAAGCAAGATGTGAGATTGGAAGCAATTCCCATGATCTTAAAATAATATATTTCCAGTAATTCCAAAGTAATTAAGAAATTCTCATAGGACACATAGAACATTTCTTTATAGGACACAAACTGGGAAGTGAAAGTTAGGAATAACTGATATATTTTGTAGAGTTGGAAGGTATATTTATGAAGTTTGGTTGTATTAATTGTGTTACATTTCTGGCCAACTTTGCTTTCCGTATTTCTCTCAGTGGAATTGATTAACTTCGATGCATAATTCTCCGAACACTTATTGACCTACTGTGACTCACACAAGTAGACATAGCCAAATGATTAATGTTGATAGAAGCTTTGTTCACATGAAATGATGGTTCTAGCCCTCTTCTTAGCCAATGTTGACATGTTTGGCACTTTTCTGGAAGACCAGTCCTCATACCTTGTGGTCATTGCTGGAAGTGGTACTGGCTAAGTCCTCAAGGTAGTCTGTTGCCACCAATCCTTCTATGCTTTTGCTTTGTTTTGGGTCTATCTAGTGATTAGTGGTAGAGAGTACACCACTATTGAATATCTGTGGAAGAGACATTGTTCTTCAGCAACAAGAATGCTTATTGCAAAACAGCAATAAATAGAACTACATTTGGCCAGGTTACTAGGATCTTTGGGAGCTGATTATCTGATATATCTGCTCCCTCTGAAAGCTAGAGTAGGATGCTTCATCTCCATTGACAGACAAGTGGAACACCACTGGTCATGGATCTCCAGTAAGAAAAACACCCCTCCGCAGCTACATTCTGTCTCTGTAACCAAGCCAAGTTTGTATCCAATTCACCATGGATCACATGTGATTTAATCTTCTTGACCAGCCTAACATGAGGGACTTTGTCAAATGGTCCAGTAAAGTTATGTAGACAATGTCCACTACCTTACCCTCATCAATCATCTTTGTTACTTCCTCAGAAAATTCAGCCAAGTTTGTGAGACAAGGCCTCCCCTGCATAGAGTCATTCTGACTATCCCTACCAAGTCCATTTTCTCCAAATGTGATTAAATCCTATTCCTAAGAATCTTTCTCCAATAATTTCCCTACCGCTGATGTAAGTCTCACCAGGCTATAATATCCTGGATTATCCCTGTTGCCCTTCTCAAAGAAAGGAACAACATTGGCTATTCTCCAGTCCTCTGGGACCTTGCCTGTGGCTAAAGAGGATACAAAGGTCTCTGTCAAGGCCCCAGCAATCTCCTCCCTTACCTCCCTCAGCATCCTGGGATAGATCCCATCAGGCCCTGGGTACTCATCTATCTTAATGAATTTCAAGACTCCCAACACCTCCTCCTTTTTAATATCAACATGCCCTAGAATGTCAACATACCCCTCCCTAATCTTACCATCATCCATGCTCTTCTCCATGGTGAATACCAATATGAAGTAGTCATTAAAGACCTCACCCACTTCTTCTTGCTCCATGCATAAATTCCCTCCTTTATCCTTGAGTGGACCTATCCTTTCCCAAGCTACCCTCTAGCTTCTAATATAAGTACAAAATGCCTTGGGATTCTCCTTAATCCTACTTGCCAAGGACATCTCATATCCCTTCCTAATTTAATGTTTAACTTCTTTTCTGTTTCCTTTACACTCCTCAAGGGTCTTGTTTGATTTCAGTGTTTTCTTTGTAAATATTTTCAATAAAACTTTAAATTATTTTATTGGCTGCTTTACCACTCACTGGGATAATGCGATAGAAATCAAACCCCACTATTCCCAGAGGGCCACCAATGTAAAGATTTAATAAGCTGCTAAAATTCCCAATTTGCCTCTGACTGATGGCCATCCAGGATAAATGCAAACCAAACCAGATTCCTTCAGTGACCATTAAAAAACTGCATCTATTGTCAAACTCTTAACTTTAGCAAGAACAGTAAAAGAACGCTATTTTGAATTTACATTACTTAAACTTTATCGCTTTTAAAATTCCCAAACACAGACACAAAGAATTAAAAAAGCAGACAAAACACAACATTATGAATACAGGAAAGAAAATAGTCAGGAGAACACAATTCGATAGATTGGATTCAAAATCCCTTTGATTCTTCAATGATACCATAGTGTTTTCTGTATAGTCATAATCAATCTGTTTTCACTGGTTCATTGTTTGGAAGAATTTGGGTTCTTCCTTTCTGTCTTTTGGTTTTAGAAATTATTTTTCAGTGTCTCTGAAATAGCTTTTCTGCTCTTTCAAATGTTAAAAAAAAACAACTTTACAGAGAAAGGGGGGACACAGAGAAAGATTGATACAGGCCATGTCTGGAAGTCTCCGTGCTTCTCTGCTTTAATTCACCACACAGTGTTAAGTTGCAACCTTCTGACCAATCAGAGCTTTGTTACTAAGTTGATCTCTCCTGAACCCACAATAAATTGTGCAGATCATCTGGATTCAATGTTCCCAAAAATGTAACATGGAATAGCAGAAAGCTTGCTTTGTTTTCTGCAAGCTGTACATTCTCCCATTGTTAAAAGCAATTTTTCTCATTTTCATTCCACAGCCCAAAAATAAAAAACATTTGGGCTCTTAGTACTGTGCTGTAGTAATTTACTGCTTTCAAGCTTTTTAAATTAGCTTCTTTGTAATACAATATCTCTGTACTGTTTACTGAGATTTACCCCATTCCCAGATTTTTCCACTTTGTTTCATGATCAAAATTGTGGTGACTTGCTTCTTCCAGGATTTTCACACTTTCTGTAGCTAAGATACAGTATTCCTGTTTCTTCCTGAGTTCATACCTTTCATAGTCTAATATACCAAGTACTTTCTTCAACACAAATTTAAAATAAACTCCTCTAGCTATAGCATTAATTTTGTCAATTACTATGCCTTGGTGCTTTTAAATATTTAGTTTTCCCTGACTCCTCTTCTTCTGCCAGACTCACAAGATATATTTGAATTTTCTCAAATACAGCTGAAATAAATTCTGAAGCCTTCAGGATTCTGGTCTAAATTTTCGTTCCTGGCCCTTTCACTGCTCCTTATGGCCTAATGTCAATGGTTACGGTATTGTTGTAAGAGATGAGAACACTCTTTTACACTTTCTTGTCTTCCTGTCCCAGTCTTTGCATAATTTCTCATTAAGTTACTCCCCCTTTCTCTCAGGGCTAACCAAATTTATGTCCTGGAGCCTCCCACACTCCCAACAGAGCTTCGTTCACAAAGTCAGCTGTTTTTCAAAGTGTGGCTGGTCTTTCTCTTTTTTTCCCTAGCCCACGTTCCTGCCCCCTCGCTTCTTACCAGCTTCTGAATGAAGTTCTACCTTTGGAGTGCTGAGCTGACCTTTTTGCTGGATTCCATGATTGCTGCTGTCTCTCTCTATCAGCAATAACACTTCAGCCAACGATTGACTGTCTGTGTCTTTTTTGAAGTTGTAACGTTTTTAAAGTAGTAAGCTGGCTTGCTTGAAAAGTTTTCTTTCTTCTGAATGTTTGGGATTTCTCTTCCTCCTGATGGAGCACAGATCTGCATCACTGTTACGGTTTGTGACTTTCTGAGATGAGAGCTCCTGGTACCTTGTGGTATCTGTCACCTCAATCAGTATATGGGACTGGGTAAGAGTTATTTGAGGTGGATAACTGCTACCGCTCGTCCTTTGTCTTTTCTTTGTCTTGGACCTAATTAGTGATTTCTGGTATTGAATATATCATGATAAAATATCTACAGAAAAGGCAGTATTCCTGGATGATAAGAAATGTTTGTTGCATAATGGCAATAGGTAAAAAAGTAAGTTAATTGAGTCTAGCTACATTTGGTCAGTTGCAATTTCTCAGATCTCTGGGTGCTGGCACAGATATATTCTGTTCCCTCCAGTAGCTACAATAGGACTCCTTGTCTCCACCTCAGACTATGGTAATATCATTAGAGTGGGTACAGCCAATATAACATGAACATTAACCTCTTCAGAACTATTATCTTATACAACAGCATGCATTTAGTTTCCCCACTAGGGATCATTGAACAGATAAATGTGCATGAGTGGGAAAACTGGTGGATTCTTCCACTCCCCAAATCAGGACAGCATCGTAGATAAGGAACTTCAGGTTTTTAAAGCTCAGTTATTTAATGCTTTTACTGGCTGAACTGTCAGGAAGCTCTTAATCTGCTTAGTAATGAACAAATGACACCCATCATTCATTACACTTTCATTAAAATCAGCAACAATATTTTAAAACTAAAGGAGTGACATTCTAGACTGGTAAAATAAAATTTTCAGTGCCAGAGAGGCTGCTTATCATTTATTAAGTTAAACTGTTAATTTCAATGGCCTCGCCTTTTAGAGTCATAGAGTTATAGTGATTTGCAGCACGGAAACAGATCCTTCGGTCCAACTTGTCCATGTTGACCAGATATCCTAAATTAATCTTGTCCCATTTGTTAGCATTTGGCCCATATCCCTCTAAACTCTTCCTATTCATGTACCCATTCAGATGCCTCTTAACTGTTGTAATTTTACCAGCCTCCACCACTTCCTCTGGCAGCTTATTCCAAACACGCACCACCCTCTGAGTGAAAACATTGTTCCTTAGGTCCATTTTAAATCTTTCCCCTCTCACCTTAAACCTATGCCCTCCAGTTTTGGATTCTCCCACCCCGGGGAAATGACCTCGGCTGTTTACCTCATCCATGCCCCTCATGATCTAATAAACCTCTATAAGGTCACCCCACAGCCTCCGACGTTCCAGGGAAAATAGCCGCAGCCTACTCAGCCTCTCCGCATAGCTCAAACCCTCCAACCCTGGCAACATCCTTGTAAATCTTTTCTGAACTCTTTCGAGTTTCACAACATCCTCTCTATAGCAGGGAGACCAGAATTTTATTAGTGTTGAAAAGGTATCTAGCAGTTAACACGAGGGTGATTTCATTAGTTTTAATGCTGTATGTAACAGCAAGATACTAGTATATTTAAACATGTCAAGAAGCAAGGCAGACCTGACAGTAACTTTCTATCTGAGATAGTAGGAACTGCAGATGCTGGAGAATCCGAGACAACAAGGTGCAGAGCTGGATGAACACAGCAGGCCAAGCAGCA